CAACTACCATACAATTGCACTCGTTTCACATACTATCAAGGTAATGTTCAAAATTCTTCAAGCTAGGCTACAGCAGTATGTGAACAAAGAACCTTCAGATGCACAGGCTGGGTTTAGAAAAGGCAGAAGAACCAGAGATCAAATTGGCAACATTCACTGGATCATGGAGAAAGCAAGGGAGATCCAAAAAAAACATCTACTTCTGCCTCATCAACTATGCTAAAGCCTTTGACTGTGTGGATCACAACAAACAGTGGAAAATTATTAAAGAGATGAGAGTAGCAGAACACCTTACCTGTCTTCTGAGAAACCTATATGCAGGTTAGAAACAACAATTAGAAATGGACATGGAATAATGGACTGGTCAAAATTAGGAAAGGAGTACAAGGCTGTATATTGTTACCTTGCTTATTTCACTTATATGCAGAGTACATCATGCAAAGTGCCAGGCTGGATGAAGCACAAGCTGGAGTATAAGACTGCTTGGAGAAGTATCAACAATCTCAGATATGTAGATAATACCACTCTAATGGCAGAAAGTGAAGAGGAACTGAAGAGCCTCTTGATGAAGGTGAAAGAGGAGAGTGAAAAAGCTGCCTTGAAACTCAACATTCAAAAAAACAAGATCATGGTATCTGGTGCCATCACTTAATAGCAAAAAGTGGAAGCAGTGACAGGACGCAAAAAGTGGAAGAAGTGACAGGTTATATTTTCTTGGGTTCCAAAATCACTGTGAAGGGTGACTGCAGCCATGAAATAAAAAGATGCTTGCTGCTTGGAAGGAAAGCAATGACAAACCTAGATAGTGTATTAAAAAGCAGAGACTTCACTTTGCTGACAAAGGTTCTTTAGTCAAAGCTATGGTTTTTCCAGTAGTCATGTATAGATTGGGAGAGTTTTTTAAAAGGTCCTAAATTCACATTACTAAATTGTTTCCCATGAAGTTTATATTGCGAATTTGAAATTTTTGCTGGGACCTGTATTTGTCAGAATTGAATATTTTCTTTTTTAAAATGTCTTAATATATTTTAAATGAAACCTGTGTTGAACACTGTTCCTTCTGTCTGTTGTTCTCATTGTATGTTATTGTTGTTCAGTTGCTAAATTGTGTCCAACACTTTGTGACCCCATTCTGTAGCACACCAGGCTTCTCTGTCCTCCCAAGAAAGGCTGAGTGCCGAAGAATTGATGCTTTCAAATTGTGGTGTTGGAGAAGACTCATCAGAGTCCCCTGAACTGCAAGATCAAACCAGTCGTTCCTAAAGGAAATCAACCCTGAATATTCTTTGGAAGGACAAATGCTGAAGCTGAAGCTCCAATACTTTGGCCACCTGATATGAAGAGTTGACTCATTGGAAAAGACTCTGGTGCTGGGAAAGATTGAAGGCAAAAGGAGAAGGGGGTAGCAGAGGACAAGATGGTTAGATAGCAACACCAATCCAACTGACATGAATGTGAAAAAACTGTAGGGGATGGCGGAGGACAGAGGAGCCTGCTGTGCTCTGGTATGGGGTCACAAAGAGTGGGTCATAACTGAAGAGACTAAGAACAACAACAGACAATGACATAAAATTGATCCACTTGTGTTGTTTTAGGGGCTTAATTATAGTAAAGGAAGAAAAAGTGATATGTCCCAACACATGATTATTTCCAATCATGCTTATTTAGCTGTAAATAAGCTAAAGTACCAACATCAGAAAAACAATTAAGGAAAAGTGATACATAACATGGACAGATTTTGTTCTCTGATATGACAGTGCCTAGAACTTAGTAGATACTCAATAAATATTTGTTTAATAAATAATAATTTTTTGACAGCAAATTAAATTTTAACCATGAAGATTGTAGAAAACTATAAAATGACTGTGATATAAAGTTAAAAATATGACAGTATTTATTGAGGTACTACTGTGTGACTGGAACTGTAGTAAAACCTAGGTATAGAATAATGGCCAAGTGATGAACAAAATGATCTGCTCTCACTGAGATAAGGTCCTAAATTCACATTACTAAATTGTTTCCCATGAAGTTTATATTGCGAATTTGAAATTTTTGCTGGGACCTGTATTTGTCAGAATTGAATATTTTCTTTTTTAAAATGTCTTAATATATTTTAAATGAAACCTGTGTTGAACACTGTTCCTTCCGTCTGTTGTTCTCATTGTATGTTATTGTTGTTCAGTTGCTAAATTGTGTCCAACACTTTGTGACCCCATTCTGTAGCACACCAGGCTTCTCTGTCCTCCCAAGAAAGGCTGAGTGCCGAAGAATTGATGCTTTCAAACTGTGGTGTTGGAGAAGACTCATCAGAGTCCCCTGAACTGCAAGATCAAACCAGTCGTTCCTAAAGGAAATCAACCCTGAATATTCTTTGGAAGGACAAATGCTGAAGCTGAAGCTCCAATACTTTGGCCACCTGATATGAAGAGTTGACTCATTGGAAAAGACTCTGGTGCTGGGAAAGATTGAAGGCAAAAGGAGAAGGGGGTAGCAGAGGACAAGATGGTTAGATAGCAACACCAATCCAACTGACATGAATGTGAAAAAACTGTAGGGGATGGCGGAGGACAGAGGAGCCTGCTGTGCTCTGGTATGGGGTCACAAAGAGTGGGTCATAACTGAAGAGACTAAGAACAACAACAGACAATGACATAAAATTGATCCACTTGTGTTGTTTTAGGGGCTTAATTATAGTAAAGGAAGAAAAAGTGATATGTCCCAACACATGATTATTTCCAATCATGCTTATTTAGCTGTAAATAAGCTAAAGTACCAACATCAGAAAAACAATTAAGGAAAAGTGATACATAACATGGACAGATTTTGTTCTCTGATATGACAGTGCCTAGAACTTAGTAGATACTCAATAAATATTTGTTTAATAAATAATAATTTTTTGACAGCAAATTAAATTTTAACCATGAAGATTGTAGAAAAATAAAATGACTGTGATATAAAGTTAAAAATATGACAGTATTTATTGAGGTACTACTGTGTGACTGGAACTGTAGTAAAACCTAGGTATAGAATAATGGCCAAGTGATGAACAAAATGATCTGCTCTCACTGAGAACTCAGACCAATAGAGATTTCAGAGTCAATACTGACATTAAATTAATGCTGTGTGTGTGTGAAAGGTGCTCAGTTGTGTCCAACTCTTTGCAACCCCATGGGCTGTAGACTGCCAGGCTCCTCTGTCCATGGAATTCTCCAGGCAAGAATACTGGAGTGGGTTGCCATTTCCTTCACCAGGGGATCTTCCCAACCCAGGGATCAAACCCAGGTCTCCCACATTGCAGGCAGATTCTTTACAGTCTGTGCCACCTGGGAAGCCCATAAATGCTGTAACATATATTTTTACTAAATGGCAATCTTTAGGAGAGGTTCTTAGACTTTCAATCAAATTTATTTTCAAATTATAAACTATTTAGCAACCTTGATATTTAACTTCCCAGAAAATGAAAGTCGTGTTCAACTCTTTGAGACTCCATGGACTATGCAGTCCATAGAATTCTCCAGGCCAGAATGCTGGAGTGGGTAACCTTTCCCTTCTCCAGGGGATCTTCCTAACTCAGGGATCGAACCCAGGTCTCCCACATTCAGGTGGATTCTTAACCAGCTGAGCCACAAGAGAAGCCCAAGAATACTGGAGTGGGTAGCCTTTCGCTTCTCCAGCAGATGTTCCCGATCCAGGGATTGAACCGGGGTCTCCTGCATTGCAGGTGGATTCTTTACCAACTGAGCTATGAGGGAAGTCCCTAACTTTTGGGAACTGAACAAATTAAAAGCAACAGGTTAAAAATGGGGTATCTGAAAAATGTAGGTATATATATTACCCCAAAGAGAAGAATCAGTTAAAAAAAATGAAAATGTTTGCATTTCAATTTGTCAGAAATTGTGGTCACAAAGATGCAATGGGTCAAATGTTAAAATATATTCCTTTGTTTAAGGAAGGAATTAAGTTCTAACTAATTTTAGAAAGATTTTCATTAAAATATTTTGATACTTACAGAAATAAGCTTTGGAAAGCTGAAAAAATGAAAAATTCAGTAACATTACAATGACCAATGCACTGGTTATTGGATTTTTTCCTAAGTCTGCCTAGGTGCTCTTTATTTTATAAAGCTGAAGTAAATATGTAGGTATATTCCCTACCACTGCACAACAACTAATTTCCTGGTGGTTTTATTAGGAAGTGATAAACTAGGCTAACTGTTTGAGAGCTTTGATAAAATTGATGGTGATTATAGGATAATGTTGTAAAAATAAAATAACCTAATGAATACAAGGCAGTAGCATGGAGGATAGTATATCAAGTGCTCAACAAATTTGTGTATTTAAAACAGTAAAAATTTTGGCAGTTTATTGCCCTTACAGTTAGAATGCAATTTGGAATTTGAAACTTCATTTTTTTTTAAATTTCTTAATGAAAAGATTCATAAAAATATATGTGCTATTTTATATATACAAACACACACACACATATATATATACACATAAGCAGGATGCAGATATATAAACATCACAAAAAAATTCTTTGGGCAATAAATCAAGCAGAAATATTTTTGCAAAAACATGGCACCACAATTCTAATAGTGGTTACTAACATGTATAATTCATTTATAGGCTGCTTACTTTCAAAAAGGATCTGATGTGACTTTTTGTTGAAAAGCACAGTTTTTAATTAAGAGTAAAAACAAACTAAAACACAGTAAACTGGGAAAGGAAAAAAATTAAAATCTTGGGACAAAACATTTCTTAATATTTAGAAACAGGTTATAGGTACCACATCCATCATTAAATACAAAGGAGGAACACTAATTTAGGATCTTTTTAAACAACTGCACAATGCGGCTTCTGGGGGAGGAAAAACCTTTTCTCTACCCGCTTATTTGTCTCTGGAAGCCTTTAAATTAAACTGACAAAAAGACAAGAGGAAAGGCAAAATTTATTCACAAGCTCACAAAGGTCATGGTTCAAAGAAATGGCTAGAATTTAGTTTAAATACCATCTTAATAGGGGAAGAGGAGGGGGAGAAAGGATACTTAACAGTCATACAAATGACTTTTAGGGAAGACAAAATGGACCTTTAGGAAAATAGATGGGAGTTATGATAATCTTGTGACAATGTCTGTTTAATGCGATTTCTCATCTGGAAATCTTCCTTAAAAACGATTAGAGGCATTTGAATTCTTTGGAAGTGTCTGCTTTTAGACAGATAGTGGGGGTGGGAGGCGGTTCAGACGAAGTCTTTTTTTTTAACTTCTGTTGTTTCTTAGACATCTTCACCTCAAAATAATCTTTATGCCATAGTATATTCTGGATGCCTTCATAGATTCAGAAAAAGATGATCAAGAGAGAATAAATATGATGTCAAGAAAAATACACTGGCAAGCTCATAAGTAGTCCTAGTAAAAATATCAGTCAGCCATGAAAATTCTAAAGGATATAATTTTACATTGATAAATTTTCATTATCTTTATCCATAATAAGACTATCCTTAAATGTATTAGAAGTTAAATCCTCTGGAAAATAAGAACATTTATTGGAAGTAAAATGGGTTTTTTATAGAGCATACTTTATCTCCTAACTTTACCAGTTTTTTTTTTCACTCTGGAATAAAGAGGTGGAGGGGAAAAAAGTCCTTGGAAATACCTAATTGAGAATAAGGCACTGGTTGTCTTCTAGGTTTAATAAAGAATTTCTGAGGATAATATAAATTCAGTTATCATCATCTTTATAGATATTTTAAACTTACCTCTAATTTCTTGGCACAAGGTCCACTAACAAGCGCAACCACACCATGGTCAGATACCTAAGCAAAGGGAAAAAGAACACAGCACATAAATGGAGAAGATGGAAGCATATTTTTCTAAAAATTGTTATTTAGATATTGTTTTATTTCCTCCCATTTAGTAAACATGTGTTTTATCCACACATACCTTCCACCCTTACTTAAAACAATTGAGGGGAGGGTGCAAATTATATTGCAATTATTTAACTATCAAAATATGAAGTCAATAATTTCAGCAACAACAAAAAAATTAATTGTGTTCTGATGCGTTATGGAAATACACTGGGCAAATAAATACATACAGTCTCTACATGTCAAGTGTTATTTCATTTACCTGAGTAGCTGAAAAATCAACACACTGCAAAAATGCGCAGTTTTCTCCTAATGCCTGCAAGGACACATCAGTAATACCTAAGCAGCCTCCTAAATCAATGATCTTTAACAGCCGGCAATTGAGTGCAAGAGCAAGGACTCCTTCATCAGTGAGATTGCAGCATCTTTTCAAAGAAGCTTCATGCAGGTAAGAGCAAGATGAAGCCACAGCTTTTATTCCTGAGGGAAAATATAATTCTGTATCAATGAGCTATAGATGTTTATATATGAGAAATGTGACTGATTTTTATTTTAGTAATCACCAGTACTGATACATCCAATTAGCCTTTTCCAAAGTAGTTCATGTGGGGAATATACTATTTTTTTCAGTGATGCTGTCATTATTTAAAACTCTTTTAGAATGTTTCAAGAATTCTCTATACAATCTGTAGTATATTCTTCAGAATATCTGCAATTAATGACATGACTTTTTATGATTAGATTTGCTTTTAGGAAATGACCAAAAATCATTCAGAACCAAATTAGGTAATTAAATTGTAGATGATTCTCCTTTTTGTTAAAAGTTTTAAAGTAATAAAGTTAATTTTCTTATAGACTCTGAAAAGAAATCAAAAGTTAAATCCCACAAATGTCTTAAGTAATAGCTTTCATGCTTATCCTTAGAAATCATACCCATGTTTCTGGGTTTTCTCCTCCCTCCTTGATTCTACCCTTTCCTACCACCATGCTTCTTCTTTGGTAGCCTGGACGAATCTCAGATTTTACTGGGGGTCAAGAAAAGAGAGGCCCTTAAATCCAATTAAACTGATGTAAAAGCATTTTGGTGACAGGTATATGATGATGTGCCATATAAATAAAAAGAGTACTGAAGGAATGCTGGGCTCTTCAATCATGGACAAACATTATAGCACTGTTAAAAGACATCTTTATGGGCAAAATACACAAAATGGAAGATGGTAAATTTGTGTGTAGGTCATTTTTATTGTTTACTATGTCTTAAGAAAGAACTCTTACTTTATTCATTAGTGTTCAGCATGAAAGTTCTTTTTAGAGAGTCAGTATTTGTGTAAACATTTTAAAACTTATGCTTCCTTGCAATATTATGAATATCCTAACTTGCTAACCAAGCTAATTGTAAAATAGAGCCAACTACCTACAAAATTCTCCAGAAACTTAGGTAGCCAAATAACTCCCTCTTTCTTATATTGAAAACAGTAAAAATTTTAATATTTTTTAAAAATGGTAAAAATTCATTAATTCATGTAACAGTCACACTGATACATGCAGTGTGCCTGGTTATAAAACACTGTAACTAGACAAGGTCGGTACCAAACCCAATTTCGGCTTCCTGCCACTCAGAAGATCAATACTCAAGAGACAAGTGTAAATGGAAAAAAAAAAAAGGGGGGGGCCAGTTTTTGTTGGAAACTTTAAAGTTGCTTTAGTCAGGAAGCCGGCAAGCTGGGCAGATGGTAGACTGACGTCCTTAAGAGCATCTCCAAGTTGCCAGTTGGGAGATAAAGGTTCTAAAGCCTGTGTGAGGGAGGGGGCTGCAAGGTACACAAGCAGTTCATACACAGTTCTCAGATTGGTTGGCATCAAGGTAAAGTTTCAAACATCACCAGTCTTCTGGTTTCAACTGGTCTGGGGTCTACATGCTTGCAGTCAGCAGTTTTCATCTGGTCTGCTTCCTGTGAAAACAACTTACGAGTGTGTGTTAGATCTTTATATCTTTCAGAGAACTGGGCATTTAGTGATTTTGCTATGTGACTGGCTTATAGTCTAAATTGTTTCAGCTTCCCTGCCCATGTCCTTGAGGTTGGTATCTGGAATTAAGCAAGCAAGATTAGTTCTTTCTTAGTCAATTAGTCATTGTCTAAAATAGTTTTGAGGCATGCTTAGGTCAGCAGGAGTGGAAAATACATGTTTCAAGTTTTGTGCAGCTCAAAATGGGGCAACTTGAAAATATACATTTCAAGTTTTGTGCAGCTCAAGATGGGGCAGTTCTGGCTACAAAACTATGTGTTATGCAGGCTGATAGGAGAGAACCTAGTAAATATTTGCTAATGATTTAACTTTCTGTTGTAATATTACAACAAAAAAGTCTTAACAACGTTATGAACTGGTCATTTCTTGTTTCACTATACTAGGCAAAATATTTAAAATATTTATCTAGTCATGTTTATTTTAAATATGTTTAAAATTTAAGTAGTGACAATGTATTTCCTAACTTTCAGCACTGATTATAAGCAAGAATTCTAATTAGGATTCTCTAGTTTATTTTGAATATTTTTATTGATAAATATAGTTTCTATTTCTTTGACACCTTCAAACTGTTCATGGGGTTCTCAGAACTGACTCATTGGAAAAGACCCTGATGTTGGGAAAGATTGAAGGTGGGAAGAGAAGGGGACAACAGAGGATGAGATGGTTTGATGGCATCACCGACTCAATGGACATGAGTTTGAGCAAGCTCTGGGAGTTGGTGATGGACAGGGAAGCTTGGTGTGCTGCAGTCCATGGGGTAGCAAAGAGTTGGACAAACGACTGAGTGACTGAACTTGACTGACTGACATCTTCATACTATCTTTTAACATATTTTCCCCTTCTCTGCTCCAAAACTATGGTGAATAGTTCTCTACCAATTCGTTCAATGTTAACAAACATACCTTTTGAAGTTATGGAAATTCGGTTTTCTTTTGAGGAATTTAAATTTAATTTCTTCAGTTTTCTGCAGTTACATAGGTGCAGGAGAGCAGTATCTGAAATATCACAGCTTCGTAGATCTAGAGTTTGGACTTCAGGATGTAAAATCTATAATACATACATTATTTTGAAAAATTAAAATTTCCTATAAACATAAATATTTATTCCATATTCAGTGTTTACATGGTCATAACAGAGAAGTGGCAGGTGAAAACTAGAGCAAAGAATACAGAAATGCATTTGTGTGAAGACAGATACAAAAAGCAAAAAAAATCAAGTCAAGTCTACTTCCAACTGAGGGTGCAGCTTATAGTGTCCCAAAAGTCTTATTGTGACACAGAGCTCTACTGAGACAGCTGGTACAGAATAAGAACACATTAGATATGGAAGCAGAACCAAGGTAGTGGGGTGCTTATCCTCTCCCAGTAGTTTCTGACTATTATGAGAGAGTCTAGCTATGTGCCTCTTTGCTCAGCAGGTACGACTCTTTAATTTCTGTAGGCAGGGAGTGATGATAGTTGCAAACTCATTTTACAGTTAAGAGAACTGAGGTTCAGTGTCAGAAAGAGTGGCAAAGCTGGTATTTTTATTCAGGTCAGAAGCTTTACTATACATTCTCCCTTATAGAATTGTTAATTTTAGCTTAATTAGGGAAAGGGCTTCCTAGGAAGCTCAGTTGGTAAAGAATCTGCCTATAATGTGGGAGACCTGGGTTCAGTCCCTGGATACAGCAGATCCCCTGGAGAAGGGCATGGCAACCCACTCAGTATTCTTGCCTGGAGAATCCCATGGACAGAGGAGTCTAGTGGGTTACAGTCCATGGGGTCGCAAAGAATCAGACACAACTGAGCAACTAACATATATATAGGGAAAGAGAGTAAGTATAAGTTAGATGGAGTGAGGTAGCCAGAAGAAGAATGAAGAGTTTAGAAGAATGATTTTTAACTGATTGTTATCCCTGAATGGATAAAATCAATCTAGTAGGCTATGATCAACATTTTTTAATTGAAATAAGACATACTAGAATAAAATAGAAAATATCTAAGTGTACTGCACACTGTACTGTTACACGTAGGTGTGGTTTGTGTCCTAGAGTCACAATGTAACATTCCTATTTCTTCTTGTGGGTCTTTTTTTTGTCATTTGTTTTTTCACTCTGCATTTTATTTTTTTCTAGATTTACTAAGGTATACTTAACTAAAAAGTTTAAAATTTCTTGAAAATATGCAGTTCATGGATGTTGATACCATGAAGACAAGGGGAATAACTGAAGGAACAGTGGGAGAAGAGTTTTAATTTTTATTTTATTTGTTTTTTGGCTGCTCGGCATGTGGGATCTTAGTTCCCCAACCAGGAATGAAATCTGTACTCCCTGAATTGGAAGCGCTGAGTCTTAACCTCTGGACCCCCAGGGAAGTCGAGAGATTCCCCCAGGAAGTCAATGGGAGATTTTTTTAGAAGCTATTACACAAGGACATTATGGTTATCTGGAGAAAAAAGAACTTTAGTATATTCTAAAATTACTCATCCTAATATAAAACATTGTTCCAAAAATCTTAAACCATAGCTGAACAGTAAAATATAATAAGTTTGCTTTACAGTTGTATATATTCTTACCTCACTTATGTTTGAATCTGTTATCTGCCCCTGCACGCTCATAATTTTGATGAGTCTATCTTTTATGTTGGGTGGCAAAGGCTTAATGTCTGTGATATATCTAGAAATATTCTTCATGAAGCACCAAAGGCATCTGAAATACAAATACAATACAGTAAATTACACTATACAGGTATTGACTCCTAATATTTGTTTAATGCAGTTGTTAGTACTTAGTTCTTTCATAAACAAGAAAGAAAAAATGGGTGTATATTTTATATGAATATTTACAACTTAAGTTTGATAAGATTCAAAAGCCTCAGTTATGAACAAGTTGCCCTTTACCTCTATAACTTTTTCTCAGCATCCATCACTTACTAAAATGCATTCTAAATGACAAAAAATTTTTCTTAAGTCAGTCTCTCTAATTCCTAAGATATGCAGTTACCACCAAGCTTTCAGTCACATATATTCCTAAGTACACACTAAACTAGGGCTGATTAATTGACAAATTTTATGTGTTAATCCAACAAACTTGCTTTCACTATTTTTCTTAAAAATTGTACAGGTATAAGAACCAAGAAAGAACTGTAACCACAAGATTCCACAAACAGTACAAATCAGAGAGAGAGTAACCTTAGTGCCAGTATTATATATCACAGATTTATAGCAGGCAACAACCAAGACCCATACAACCAACATACTTCATATTGATATGTGGCCTGAAATTCCAACTATCTGAGATACTTGTATTTTAAATAAATACAAATATTTCTTAGTTTCTGCCCATAAATATTTTCACATATACACACTTCAATTTTTTTAGTGCAGTCTTTTCTTTTCTTTTGTTTGCCTCTGCCTTTCTTTCTCCTATTTTTTCCCCTTCCATTAGCTTAGTTCCTCATGCTATTCCTTGTATATTCTTATTTTTTCTCTGTGCTTGTACACACACACACACATTCATTCATACATGTATCTATGTTCTCACACATACATTTAAAGGTTAGGTTGGGGGTGGGGAGAGATCACTGTTTCTTAGAATGGCATCAGTGTATACTCACTTTTCTACAAACTCTTTCATTTAATAATAATTCTTCAAAGTATCAAGTATAGTTTTAATTCTCCTTTAGTGGCTAAATTTTATAGGGTGGATGACTTAGTCATCCCCTGTTGAGGAGCATTCCACTGTTTCTAGGATATATTAACATATGTTGTCAGATTATTTTCTTCATATTTCCATCAGCAGTGTTGGAGAGTTCCTTTTCTTCTATATCGCTAAGCAACAGATGTTATTGTTCATTTTACTTATTTATTTTTCCATTTATTTTCATTATGTCCATTTCCCAATCTCATCCCTCTGCTTTAGGAAATCATTCTAATGTCTAATGTGTATCTTTTTGTTGTATGTAGCCTTTTAATATGATTGTTCTATGGAAGTATTTCTAATTTATATGTGTGATATTTGTCATAGATTTGTTTAGTTTTTCACTGAGCACTATTTTTAAGATCTGCTTACCCTTAAATGTTGGCAGATATCATGGGTGAAAAGTAGTATCTCATTACCACTTTAATTCTTATTTCTCTAATTGCTAGTAAATTTAACATCTTTTCATAAAGTTGCTGGCTATCTAGATATTCTTTCCTCAAAATAATCTATTCATATCCTTTACCTATTTTGCTATGTTTTTTACTTAAATTTATGAGCTATTTTTGTGGTCAAATACATGACTGATTTTGTATACTATGCTCTATAAATATTCAGAAAATGTATATTTTCTGAGAGTTGTAATGTTCTCTTTCTGTGTTTTATATATGCATGTCTAAATATCTCTCTCCATGTACGTACATGTATGTGCACACAAATATATTATGTGTGTTAGTGTTAATCTCTCAGTTGTGTCCAACACTTTGCAACCCCATGGACTGTAGCGTACCAGGCTCTTCTGTCCGTGGGAGTTTTCAGGCAAGAACCCATTTCCTTCTCCAAGGGATCTTCCCAACCCACGGATCGAACCCAGGCCTCTGGCATTGCAGACAGGTTCTTTACCATCTGAGCCACTGTGTATGTGATTATTCATTGATTAGTATCATTTAATTCTTCTATGTTCTTATTCTTTCTACTATATCTGTAGAATTCTTAGTTTGCAATACTTGTATTTTTTAAAAAATAGTTATTTATTTGGCTGTGCTGGGTCTTAGTTGCGGCATGTGGGATCTTAGTTCCCTGACCAGGGATGGAAGCCATGCCGCTTGCAGTGAGAATGTGGAGTCTTAATCACTGGACCACAAGGGAAGTCCCTTACCTTTCATTTTTGACTTAAAAACTCTCTTGTAATTGATTTTTGTAATTGTCAAGAGTCGTGCAGAATCTGAGAGTTGATCCTACTTACTAGTTTATGAGTTAGCTTTAATACCATTTTATGAATGCTGGCAGAAGAATGCTGGGTCAGTGAAAAACAACTATATTACTCATGATAAGAACAGTAGCCAGGGAACTTCCCTGGGGGTCCAGTGGTTAAGAATCTGCCTGCCGATGCAGAGGACTGGGGTTTGAACACTGGTCCAGGAATTAAGAACCCACATGCTGCTGAGTAACTTAACCCCACACTTCACAATCACAAGCCTGTGCACCCTAGAGCCTGTGCTCCATAACAAGAGAAGCCACAGCAATGAGCAGAGTAGCCCCTGGTTGCAGCAACTAGAGAAAGCCCATGGGCAGCAACAAAGACCTAGCTCAGTCAAAAATAAATAAATTGAAAAAAGAAAAAGAGTAGTAGCTGGAGCTTCGTGTTTGTGTTGGTTCTCCACGCCCCAGGCCCTACAGTATAATGTAGGAAGGCTGGTCCAGATAGATGTTTACTCATGTAGTAGGTTTGTATTACAAGACAGAAACACTGAGCTTGAGGGGGTTCATCATTTTTATGGCAAACTGAAGCAAGATTGCTCTTTTTGGAAGGAGAAAATACTTCATCTTTCAAGGCTGTTTACTACTAATGCAACCTTGAGAAATGGCCTAGGTAATCAAGGCCCTGCATTCTTGGTATACCCAGCAAGAATGTGCAGGTCCATGTGTTGCCTCTTCCAACAATCCATCCCATTAAGTTCTTGGCTGAATTCAAATATTCATGGAAGTATGCCACTCTATCAGCTACTTTAATTTGACCAACAGAGGCTAAAACCTAATCTGTTCAATTTGTCTCTTAAAGCACTTAATTAAAGCTACTATCAATAGCCAACTCATTGGAAAAGACCCTGATCCAAGGAAATATTGGAAAGCAAAGGAGAAATGGGTGGCAGAGGATGAGGTAGTTAGATAGCATCACTGACTCAATGGACATGAAATTGAGCAAACTGTCAGAGATAGTGGAGGACAGAGGAGCTTGGTATGCTACAGTCCAAAGGGTCACAAAGAGTTGGATATATGACTTAGTGAGTGAACAACTATCAATAGTACTCCAAGTAGCAGGATAAGGCTAACCTGCAGTAATGACCTCAAAAGTAACTGCTGGGCCCCAGATTCAGCTAACTGTGAAAAAGTGTGGAGTGGGGGAAGGGAACCAGTAGGTCTTACTTGCAACACACAGGATGTGGTCAAAGTCCAGTCTATCACCTCTTATGAAACATACAAGGGAATTTAGGTGGTTATGTCAATGACTACATTTTTCTTTCTTAGGGCTTTTAATTGTTTTTATCTGTTATTTTATCTATATTCATCTCTGATGAATAACTGTTCATCAGAGGATGAACAGAGGATAACTGTTCCTTTGTTTTTGAACATTTCCAATATATTTGTTTTAAAATATCTTTTAAGTTATTCTATTGTCTGTAGTTAATAACGTGTCAATTGTCCTATTTTCTGTTGGGTCTCTTTCATGCTATTTTTGTTCTTTAGGTACTTTGTAAATTTTGACTGTTAACACTTCTTTGGCAGAACTAGTTTGCGTGAGAATCCTGTGTTCTTTGTGTTGTGAAAGCAAACCTCATGGTGAAAGTTTGAGTTTTCCTCCTCTTAAGGACATTGTTTTTGTCTGGTTGAATTGCAATAACAAAATGCCATAGATTGGATAGATTTGTTAAACAAAAGCACTTTAATTTTCACAGTTCTGGATGCTAGAAGTGTAAGATCAAAGTGGTTGAGTTAGGGCTCTCTTCCTGATTCACAGCTGGCACCTTCTCTATGTGTCCTCTTATGGTAGAAGGGGCTAGGGATTTCTCTGGAGCTTCTTTGTAATGACACTAATCCAATTTGTAAGATTTTGAGGTGGAGCAGGACCCTATTATCCCTACCCCTACCCCATGTCCTCTGTCTGCCTTTTGTCTGTGGAAAACTTTAGTCAAAGAGAAAGTGAGAAATGAGAATTTAATCAGAGAAGTGAGAAATGTGGAAAACAAAGAAAAACAGTCAAAAGAGATCAAATAATAATGTAGGCATTAAGCACAGTCAAGGACCTTTAGTTCTTTCTCAAGGGCTACAGATAATATTCTGAGCCATATCCTGTGAACTGTCTTATAGATATTAAAACATAGGCACGAAGAAGTTAACTACATAATGACCAGACTGTACCCATGACATGAGCTGTCATAATTCCTAGAACTGGCCTCAAGGAAATGGTAACAAATGGATTTTGGAACTGAAGATTAACTGTACCTAAAACAAACAATTAAAACCAATTAAAAGACACTTGCTCCTTGGAAGAAAAGCTATGACAAATCTAGACAACATATTAAAAAGCAGAAATATTACTTTGCCAACTAAGGTCCATATAGTCAAAGCTATGGTTTTTTCAGGAGTCATGTATGGATGTGAGAATTGGACCATAAGAAAGCTGAGTGCCAAAGAATTGATGCTTTTGAACTGTGGTGTTGGAGAAGACTTTTGAGAGTCCCTTGGACTGCAAGGAGATCCAACCAGGCTATCCAAAAGGAAATCAGTCCTGAATATTCATTGGAAGGACTGATGCTAAAGCTGAAGCTACAATACTTTGACCACCTGATATAAAGAACTAACTTACTGGAAAAGACTCTGATGCTGGAAAAGATTGAAGGCAGGAGGAGAAGGGGACGACAGAGGATAAGATGATTAGATGGCATCACCGACTTGATGGACATGAATTTGAGCAAGCTTCGGGAGTTGGTAATGGGCAGGGAAGCCTGGCATGCTGCAGTCCATGGGGTCACAGAGTCAGACATGACTGAGCGACTGAACTGAACGGAACTGAAAACAACCAAGATGACATTGGTCAGACCACTAATGACCAATTTGAGGATGACTGTCAGAGATAACTTCTGTTTCTCCATGTAGCAACCCCTACTCCCGACTCTGTGTATAAAAGCTCTTACTCTCTGCTTGTTGGGGTGGGGANACTGTATTGGTTTCAAACAGGAATTCTAGTTTTGACTGGGATTTTATATCCTTGCCATCGATGTGGGCTGCTCTTGGAAGAGTGTGACTTGAAGTGAGGAGACTGCAGAGTCAGCAGAGGTAGATTCTGAAGGTGGGCAGAAAGTCCTTCCTTGAAGGGTGATCTGGGTAGCACAACTCCATGGATATCACTCTCACTTACCAAAACTATGTATCATTATATTTGTACATTTTAAGTAATTCATATTCAACAGACTGCAAGGAATAAGAAGGGTGACAAGTTTAGACACTCTCAGCTCTCATTCTCTTCAACTCTGTTATGATGTTGAAATCAGACGCTCTACCATTAACATAAATTTATGTCATTTATTCTAAAAGTTAAAAGCTTAGCAAAAAAGGGTCATTTGGGGAGTAACTGCTTTATTAAGATATAACTGACATAACAGTGATTTTTAGTGAATCTACAGAGTTGTGTATCCATCATCAGTATCTAATTCCAGAAAACTTTCAATACACTAAAAATAATTTTATACCCATTGGCAGTCACCTCCCAATCCCCCCACGTTCAATAGCCCAGGGAACTATCAGAAGCCCCAGAGAAATCTCAAGCCCTTCTACATGTGAGGACACATAGAGACAGGGTGCCACATTCTGTCTCTCTAGATTAGCCTATTCTGCACATTTCATATAAATGGAATTATAAAATATGTGATATTTTATTACTGGCTTCCTTAACATTTTCAAGTTTATCTAGTTGTAACATGTATCAGCACTTCACTCATTTTTACTGCCAAATAATATTCCATCATGTGAATACACCACCTTTTGTTTATCCATGCACCAGTTTGTTGATATTTGGGTTGTTTCTATTTTGGGGCTATTATGGATAATTCTGATACAAATGTTCATGTATGAGTTTTTGGGTGGACATATGTTTTCATTTATTTTGGGGACATATCTAAGAGCTCACTTGCTGGGTCACATAAAACTATTGAATCATACAGTAACTCTAAGTATAAACATTTGAGGAATTGCCAAACTATTTTTACAAAGTGGCTACAACATTTTATATTCCTACCAGCAGTGTATGAGGATTCCAAGTTCTCAACATATTTCCAATATTTAATATTATCTGTCTTTTATTATTGCCATCCTAGTGGCTATGAAGTAATAATAGCTCATTATGGTTTTGACTTACATTTCACTGCTAGTCAATGATGTTGAGCATCTCTGCATGTGCTTGTCAGCCATCTGTATATCTCCTTTACAGAACTGTCTATTTGGATCCTCTTTCCACTTTTAAGTTGGGTTTTGCTGTTTATAGGATTCTTAGTTGAGGTTTTTCTTTCAGCACTTTAAACATGTCATCCCATTGCTTTCTGCTTTCATCGTTTCTGAAGAGGAGTTCAGTGTTAATCTTATTAAGGTTCTCTTATACATGAGTAATTTTTCTCTTACTGTTTTCAGGATTTTCTTTTGGCCTCAGCATTTTTACTATGATATTTTTGTTTTGTTTTTGGCCATGCCATGCAGCCTGCAGGATCTTAGTTCCCTCATCAGGGATTGAACCTGGGCCCTCAGTAGTAAGAGTGTGGAGTCCTAACTATTGGACAACCAGGGAATTCTACTGATATGTATGTTTATATTTCTTTGTATTTATCCTAAAAATTCATTCAGTTAATTTCAATTCACTGAGTTCCTTGGATGTGTAGATTAATATTTCTCATTAAATCTGGCTTTTAGCTATTATTTCTCGAAGAATCTGTTTTCTTCTCTTTCTTTTTGTTTTCATGTTCCCATCACATGTATGTAGACATGCTTATCCTGTACTTCTCTGAGGTTCTGCTCCATTTCCTCATCCTATTTCCCTTCCATTCTTCAGATTGCATACTATTATTTATCTTAAGTTCATAACTTTTTCTTCTGCCAGTTCAAATCTAATACTGAGTCCCTCAAATATTTTTAAATTTCAGTTATTATACTTTTTCAATCCCAGAATTTCCATTTGGTTCTTTTTTATATATAGTTTATATTTCTTTATTAACAGTCTCTATTGTATCTCTAAAGTAATAGCCTCTATGGTGCAAAGATAGGCACAATCAAGGAGAGAAATGTATGGAACCAACAGAAGCAGAAGCAATTAAGACGTGGCAAGAATACACAGAACTATACAAAAAAGATCTTAATTACGTGGATAACCATGATGGTGTGATCACTCACCTAGAGCCAGATATCTTGGAGTGTGAAGTCAAGTTGGCCTTAGGAAGCATCACTACAAACAAAGCTAGTGGAGATGGTGGAACTTCAGCTGACCTATTTTATATCTGAAAAGATGATGCTGTGAAAGTGCACTCAGTATGCCAGCAAATTTGGAAAACTCAGCAGTCGTCACAGGACTGGAATAGGTCAGTTTTCATTCCAATCCCAAAGAAGGGCAATGCTACAGGATGTCCAAACTACTGCACAATTACACTTATTTCACATGCTATCAAAGTAATGTTCAAAATCCTTCAAGCTAGGCTTCAATAGTACCTGAATTGAGAACTTCTAGATGTACAAGTTAGATTTAGAAAATGCAGAGGAACCAGAGATCAAACTGCCAACATCTGCTGCATCCTAGAAAAAGCAAAAGAATTCCAGAAGAACATCTACTTCTGCTTTACTGACTACACCAAAGCCTTTGACTATGTGGATCACAACAAACTGTGGAAAATTCTTAAAGAGACAGGAATACCAGATCACCTTACCTGCCTCCTGCAAAACCTGTATGCAAATCAAGAAGCAACAGTTAGAACCAGATAGAACAACAGACTGGTTCAAAATTGTGAAAGGGATACATCAAAGCTGTATACTTTCACCCTGTTTATTTAACTTATATGCAGAGTACATATATGCCCAGTATGTGAAATGCTGGGCCAGATGAAGCACAAGCTGGAATCAAGATTTCAGGGAAAAATATCAATAACCTCAAATATCAATATTATCTGTTATATGCAGATGTCAACACTCTTATGGCAGAAGGTGAAGGGGAATTAAAGAGCTTCTTGATGAAGGTGAAAGAGGAGAGTGAAAAAGCTGGCTTAAAACTTAGCATTCAGAAACAAAGATCATGGCATCCAGTCCCATCACTTCATGGCAATGGATGGGGAAACAATGGAAACAGTGACAAATTTTGTTTTCTTGGGCTCCAAAATCACTGCAGATGGTGACTGCAGGCATGAAATTAAAAGACACCTGCTCCTTGGAAGAAAAGCAATGACAAATCCAGAGAGCATATTAAAAGCAGAGACATTACTTTGCCAACAAAGGTCTGTATAGTCAAAACTATGGTTTTTCTGGTAGTCATGTATGGACGTGAGAGCTGGACAATAAATAAGGCTGAGCACCAAAGAATTGATGCCTTTGAACTGTGGTGCTGGAGAAGACTCTTGAGAGTCCCTTGAACTGCAAGGGGGTCAAACCAGTCAATCCTAAAGGAAATCAACCATGAACATACATTGAAAGGACTGATGTTGAAACAGAAGCTCCCATACTCTGGCCACCTGATGCAAAGAGATGATTCATTGGAAAAGCCCCTGATGCTGGGAAAGATTCAAGGCAGGAGGAGAAGGGGACAACAGAGGTGGTTGGATGGCATCACTGACTCAACGGACATGCATTTGAGCAAACTCTGGGAGATGGTGAAGGACAGGGAAGCCTGGCGTGCTGCAGTCCATGGGGTCCCAAAGAGTCAGACACCACTGATCAACTGAATGACGATGACGATTTTATCTATATCATGAGACATTGTCATCATACCTTTACTTCTTTTATTTTCCTTTTCTTTTGAAATTGAGGTGAAATTCACATAATATAAAATTAACCTTTTAAAGTGTAAAATTCTTTGGCATTTTGGATATTCATGTTGTGTAACCACTACTTCTATCCACTTATAAAATGGTTTCATTAGTCCAAAAGAAACTTTACATTTACTAAGGAGGCAGTTTCCATTCCTCTCTTTCCCCAGTATCTGGAAACCATCAATATGCTTCCTTTGCTATGGAATTTTCTGTTTCAGGTATTTCATATAAATTTATTCATATAAATGTGAAAATTTATGTCTGGTTTCTTCCATTTAGCATAATGTTTCTCAGGTTCATCCACATTGTAGCATGTATCAGTACTTCATTCCTTTTAATGGTTGAATGATGTTTCATTGTATGGACATATCACATTTTGTGTACTGATTCATTGGTGATGGACATATTGGTTGTTTCCACCTTTGGATTGCTGTGATTACTGTTGCTATGAATATTTGTGTAGAAATATTTGAGTACTCAATTTCAATTATGTTGGGTATATGTCTAAGAGTGCATTTCTGGGTAAAAAATGGTAAATCTATGTTTAACTTTTTGAGGAACTGCCAATCTATTTTTACCCTTACTTCTGTAAGTATGGCATAATTTAGTTCTTTGAACATATTTATAGTAGTTTCTTTAAGACTTTGCCAAGTCCAACATCTGAGTCCTCTTAAAGGTAGTTTCTGGTAAATAAAAGCTGTTACCATTATCCTGGGCCTCCCTTAGGTCCAGGGGTCAGAAAACTATGACCTATGGGCCAAATCTGGCCTGTTATCTGCTTTTATAAATGAAGTTTTCTTAGAACACAGCCAAGTCTGTTCATTTATGTGTTGTCTATGGCTGCTTCCACACTATAATGACAGAGCTGAGACTGTATTTCTTGAAAGGCTGAAAATATTTACTGTCTATAACTTACAAGCAGTTTGCCAATACCTACCTTAGATAAGCTTCCCTGGTGGCTCAGAGGTTAAAGCGTCTGCCTGGAATGCGGGAGACCCCGGTTCGCTCCCTGAGTTGGGAAGATCTCCTGGAGAAGGAAATGGCAACCCACTCCAGTACTCTTGCCTGGAGAATCCCATGGAGGTAGGAGACTGATAGGCTACAGTCCATGAGGTCGCAAAGAGTCAGGCATGACTGAGTGACTTCACTTCACTTCACCTTAGATAATGTAATACTACTAAGATTAAGCCATGTGTTTTTACTGACTTTGGGACTTTTGCCAACTGCCTAGTCACTTGGTCTGCAATTTGGAAGACTACAGATGGGCAGATTAAAGATATTCCTCTTTAGGACTGTGAACTATAGAAACAAAATTATAGCTGATATATATATGGCAATGGCTCATTCTCTAATGGTATGACACTGTTAATTAAGTATGCCCTACCCAGATCCCTGTCATTTCTACTGGAAATTCATCATTATACTGAACATGGTGACACATCTACCATCATGGCTTAGGAAAGTAAGGATTACATGTGCCTGATGTTTAAACTACCATTACATGCCAGTCTTGTGCCTCCTTTCCAAAGTTAACCTGTTTGTCTCCAAGTGAAATAGGCACTCTCACTTCTGACAAGCTGACTATTTTGGGCCTTTGACCACTTGTATTGGCGTCTCCACTGATGCCTCTTGTTGATATCTTTTCAGTTTAAGGTGTCACTGTTCCAATCTGATCAACCAACTCCAGCCACAATGACCGTAACATAAAATGTATTATGTTTTTGGCCTTTTAGAGCATATTCCATCAGACTGTGTGATATCTTTTAATGCAAAGGTCCACTCAATACTGGACCAACAGTCAAGGTATTTGATGGACACTTTATATCCTTTATCATCCTTGAGCTGTTGGTTTCAGTAAGAGATAAATGGAGTTTTTAAAAAAGCCAACTTGAGAGATTTCTAACTCTACCTGCTTCACCTTCTCCTGGTCAATACGTTTTAATGAGGTAGTTTGGTCACTAAATGTAAGCATCCACTGAAAGAGTTCACATCTTCTTGGCCACCTTCTAGACAAAGATCAGGACGATATTTTGAAATCTGACCTATTTTGACCTACTTTGAAATTTTAGAATTGTACTTTTTACAGGCTGTTTGGTGGGGCTAACAGTGGCTTCTGGGAGGGCTCACAATGATGAGTACTTCTTAGAACTGCTGCTTCCAATGTCTTTGTTCTCACAATTGGCCAGAGCCTCCCCTTGCCTCTGCAGTTCAGTTCAGTTCAGTTGCTCAGTCGTGTCCGACTCTTTGCAACCCCATGAACCGCAGCACATCAGGCCTCCCTGTCTATCACCAACTTCCGGAGTTCACCCAAACCCATGTCTATCGAGTCAGTGACGCCATCCAACCATCTCATCCTCTGTTGTCCCCTTCTCCTCGTGCCCCCAATCTTTCCAGCATCAGGGTCTTTTCCAATGAGTCAGCTCTTCGCATTAGGTGGCCAAAGTACTGGAGTTTCAGCTTCAACATCAGTCCTTTCAAGGAACACCCGGGACTGATCTCCTTTAGGATGGACTGGTTAGATCTCCTTGCAGTCCAAGGGACTCTCAAGAGTCTTCTCCAACACCACAGTTCAAAAGCATCAATTCTTTGGTGCTCAGTTTTCTTTATAGTCCAACTCTCACATCCATACA